CGAACAAGTTCGAAGTGTTATTGGGAATAAGCCCAAGAGGCATATCCGAAGGCTACAACCAAATTAATGCGGCTCGGAGACGTCCAAATCCCGCGATCATAATAGGCCTTCAAATTCTTTGAAAAACCGATTAAAAAAGGCTACCCCCGGCAAATAATAAAAAGGGTTTTGATAAAATCAGCCATAGAAAAACCTTAAGATGTATCAAATTATCTTAACACAAACGTGCTAAGGCACAAAAAGCAAAGGGGTGTCAATCGACATCGAACCCTCAAAAAACCCAATGGGTAAAAAATACATGCTAAGGCATAAGGAATTTTTTTCTAATTATTTGAGCCGAAAGAAGGGAATAATATCCATCTTTTAGAGGTTATATCGGCCCAATCTAAAGAGCCTAAGGGTCGATACACTTGGAGTTCGAGATCTTGTTCTCACTTCATCCGGACCTAAGAATTCGATTATCCGAGCCCAGATAAGAACTGACTTGACTATGGCTCAGGGACTCACTATTATTCGACACAAACCCTAAAAGGTCTATGCCTCAAGTTCTAACATTATTCGAACTCAACTGTGGTGACTTCGAGGAAGCCACCCAAAACCACAGTCTCGAACGGACCATTCAAAGCATAAGATCGTGCTAAAATTTTACAAGGCAAGGAACATGATTGAAGACACAATTTGAGGAGACATTCAAAAGGAAAAGTTTCTTTGTATATATATGGGCAAAAATATGTGCAAAGGACCGATGGGGGTCTTACCAAAAAAATGGAAAAATAAAATACTAACTATGTTCGGGGCTGCTTTCTCCCTCGGGGGCAGCTTCTCCTTCGGGCCCCTCGTCGTTATCGGACCCGCCTTGGCTGCCTTCATCATCATCGTCATCATCAGAGGATATAAGAAACCTAGCATCAGCTTCAAGCGCCTTAGCTTGAGCTATCTCTTTGGAGAGGTCAAAACCTCAAGCGTGGATTTCCCTGAGGGTCTCCCTCAGGGATTGGCACTTCGCCAAGTCATTGCTCTGTCGCTCTCGATCGGAAGCCTCCCTCAGCTGCGTTTGAGTAGCCTCAACGTCGGCCAGGTACACGGCTATGGACTTGTCAGCCATGATCTTCGTCTTCTTGACCTGCACCTTAGCTTTAGCAAGCTCGGTTTCAAGCTCCTCGATCCTTTTGACCTGGGCTGAGCTTTTCTCTTTGACGCCCCGAAGTTGGATCTCGGCCGATGACAATTTGGTCAAAGCAACCTCTTTCCCTTGGTCGGCTTTGATTTGATCGACTTCCCCTTGGAGCAGCTCGATCCTTTCCAGCTTTTGCTGCAACTGAGATATTGAAGTATTAGCCTCCACAGTTAAGTCGAGACCGTACTCTTTCAAAAGGATAGTTACCTGCTCATCCAGCTCGGCCTCTTCCTTACGAGCCTGGGCCAAGTCTACTCGGAGGTCCCTGATCTCCTCTTCTTTCTTCACATAGAGGCATTTGAGGGCGTCTCTCTCCTCAATAAGTTTCTTGAGATTAGCCTCACACCAATTCAGCTCGGATTGGGACTTGGTGAACACTTCCCGATGAAGCACCACAGCCTATGGAGAAAGGAAAAAAATCAACAAGAAGAAAATAAAAGCAAACGTAATAACGGGGAATGAAGTTTACCTGGTTCAGGAGACGATCGGCCTCGTCAAAAACCATCATCGCATCTAGGGCGGAAACATCGCCGACCCCCGCAAGGCACCCAAAAAATATGTCTTCCCCATCATGGGCTGTTCCCACATCGGGGTTCTCCATAGATCGAGCCTCCCAAAATTGCCCTTTAGAAAATTCAGGGTCGGACGACGAATCATCAATAGTGATTGCCCCAAGCAAGTCACTTGGGGCACTCTCTCCCTTTTGAAGAGCCCTACTACCGGACCCTTCGGGCACACTCGCCATTTGTTCATCACGGCAGGAAATATCTTCAGCCCCCGATGGCTTAGGGACTTTGCTCGGAGTACCTTTCGAGATCTCCTCGGTCCGAGGATGAGTCTCCTCGACCGTCACCGACCCAGCTGTTTTTGAAGCTTCGACGCTCCCCCTCTTTCGAGGCACCAGCTCACAACTAGCATCTTCCCCCTCATCTTCTTCGTCTTGTAGCTTCTGGGCTATGTCGGCAGATAGAGCGGCGGAGTCGTCCTTCGACTTAAGAGCCTTACTCTTCTTAGGCTTAGGGGTATCAGGAGGCGAGGCCCCTCTTCTTTTCTTGTCCTTAGCCGATTTAGGAGCCACTTCTTCCCCAAGCGGGGCCGGCCTTATTTTAGCAACATCCTCGAGGCCTGTATAAAAAGAAGTCAAGTGTAAGTAAAAAGAAATGTTTCAGAAAGGGGCGTCGAAAGCGTACAGATAAGCTTACCATGATTCTTGGCCTCCCATCTGCCCCTTGCCAAGTCACGCCAGCAGCGCTCGGCATGGAAGGAAGTTGCAGCCAGCTTCCGAACCCTGTCTTCAAGGTTGGGGATCACGTGAGGCATCCAGGCAACTACTGCATAACATGTGAAAGTATTACATAAAGCAAAAAAAAAAAATAGAGTACGAAGATTAATGGGTAATACGTTACTTACGATCAGGGTTCCACTTCTCGGGGAACTACAGTTTCCCCTCTGGGATGAGGTCGTAGGTCCTTACCCGCACGAACCGACTTATCTAACCTCGATCCTTGTCCTCATCGATGCTCGCAAAAAAGGACTTCGTAAATTGGCGTTGGAGTTTGATTAATCCTCGAAAAAGTCGAGGTCGATACAACCGTATGGGGAGGTTGAGAGTGAATTCCAACCTCTTGGCCTTGCCTGAGAAGAAGCGGGGCATGATCACTATGCGCCAGAACGATGGATGAACCTGGCCGAGGGTAACCTGATACGTCTTGCAAAAGTCGACGATAACTGGGTCAAGAGGACCCAATGTGAAGTGGTAAGTGTAGACACTTAGAAACCCTTCCACGTGAGTGGTGATACTCTCCTCGGGAGCAGGGATTTGTACCACGACCTCGGGCCCCCAGTTGCAGTCTTTCTTCACATCCTGGAGCTGTTTTGCCGTTATCGAGCAGATATACCTCAATACGTGTTCACATCGGCCGGGGACCGACGGAGGGTTCTAGACTTTGAAGTCGTTCTTTAAAACATAGGGGCCGGGAATGTACTCGTAAGGGAGCGGCTCCACCGGCATTTTATCACTGGCCGTCCGGGAAGAAAAGGAAGAAGCCTTCTCCTTTTGTGGGACGGATTTGGAGGTTTTCGCCATTGGTTTAGTTAGAAGGAAGCGGAAAGAGGTGGATTATGATATTTTTGGTACTAAAAGATTGAATCAACGGGTGGTGAAAGAAAATAGATGGAGAGAGGAAGAGACCTGAAAAACTTGGTGAAGGTGGAAGTAAAGTTTTGATTCAAATGAAGAACCTATATTTATAGATTCGCGGCGACGGTTCGCTGGCGCTAGTGGCCGACCGTCACTAGCAAGCCTTAATGGTTTGGGGAACTAAACCGACGGAACGTTTCGGTCACCTCGACCGCTTACATCACGGGGATGACATCATTATTGGGGTCTCCGAAAAATCGAGGCTCAAGTCGTTTCTTATCATTTTACTCTAAGAAACGAGGGGACTATCTGTATACGGTGGAAATCGGGGCTACCCAATTTCGTCCTGCGATGGAGAAAAAGATACCACATCGAAAGACCAGGACGTCGAGTCCGGGATCGAGGTTTCTTTCCAAGATCAAGGTCGTCATCGTTAACCGAGGTCAGAAAGGGGCATGCTTCGAACTCATGCCGGTATAAGGCAGTAACGAAAAGAGCGAGATATCTGCAACGGACCGAAGATCGTGGCGTGAATCTCAGAACGGATCGGTCTATAGAGGTTAATTAATTGTTAATATGATTTCCTACTATAATTAGAAGTGTACCTTATTTAGGACTCCCCTATTATATAAAGGGGGATCCCACTCATTTGTAACCATCATTGTTCACTGATAAGAAAATATACGCTCATTACTTTCTTGCTATTTCACTCACTGTTCATCAGAGTTGCTTTCATTTGTTATTCCTATTATCACACCTCGAGACTTCCTTAGGTCGAGGTCGAGGTCGAGATTTGGCTTGCATACTGGTTTGATTTATTTTATGCTCTAATTTATCTATTTGATTCGTTGTTTATCAATTGGTATTGGTTAAATCACATATCCTTAAAACCACAATATAAGTTTAATTGTTACTCGATTTTAGGGTAAACAATTTTAACTCGGAATTCAAAATTTGTGGGCAAAGATATAGACAAACTCAAAATAGAGTCATAATTAAATAAAATTTTATCAGCTAAAGAATCATTTAAATTTTTAGATAGCCAATTAAAGTGAATTTTGAATTAAGCATAATATCTTCACTTACATCATTATAAAGATAATCATTATTGAAATATAAATTTTAAAAACTGAAATTTTAAATTAAAATATTTTTTGAAAGATAACAACGTACCAATATAATATCTTATCCAAAGAGTCTTTCATATTGTCTCAACTTTGGTTGCTTTGCTATAAATATAAATTATTATTTTGCTTCCTGATTATTTTTAGGTTCCAATAACACCGTCGAGAATGATATTGAAAAAGAAAATAGAATTATCCATTACGAGATTTTCAAAATGGTTACAAGTCTTTTCGTGTGTACTGTTTCTTTATTAATATTTAATGATTATTTATATTTTGCTAGAAAGTTTAAATTTTAAAGTTATTTATACATAGTCCAAATAATTTAAATTACAATTTGACAAAGTTAGTGTCCGCGTATCCGTGCGGATACTAATACTAATTGTATATTAAATTACATTTAAGTTAAAACCTCTTTAATAGGAATAAATAAGTTGACAATATAATACTATAGTAGCTCCGTAAAAATCTCTAAAGAAAAGAAAAAAAGGAAACGGGAAATAGACAAACTTCAGCCAAAATCTAGTTTTAAGATTCCTGAAATAAAACCTCTCAATCTGAGCCGACCTGTTGATCCAACGGTGCATGGCACCACGGCGCTCGTGCTAATCACACTCCCCGTTTCCTTACTTCACTGTTCAGCGCACTTCCATTCTCTCTCTAAACCCCGTCTTCTCTTTCTCTCTCTAGAACAGTGACTTCATCCCTCAATGATCACTATTTCTCCTTTTTATCAACTAAATTGATACTATGGTCGTTCGAAACTAGCTTAAATATTTGAACTGTTAAAAGTTAATTTAAGAAGATTTTTTTTTTTTTTTGGGGCTAATTTTGAGTTTGAAATTCGCAGTTTTGGGAGGCGTAATTTAATGTTAGTGTTTTATGTGCAATGATTACTGATAGTTATTCAAAGATGATATCAATGGTAGGAGGAAACAACGATTTTAATGATCGGGAGAGAGAGCTAAGCATGTTGCGAAGCGGTTCTGCTCCGCCCACTTTTCAAGGATCGCTTAGCGCTTTTGCTGATTTTGGTGGTCTTTCAGAGGAATTAAGGTCTGATCCAGCCTACATTGCCTATTACTACTCCAACGTCAACCTAAACCCTCGCCTTCCGCCGCCTCTTCACTCCAAAGAGGACTGGCGGTTCGTGCAGCGTCTCCAAGGCACTAATGCTGCAGCTAATGGTAGCTCTGTGGCATTAGGGGATATTGGAGACCAGAGGAAGTTGATTCGAGGTGATAAGGGAGCTGATGATATGTCACTTTTTCCGATGCAGTTGGGATTTGGTCAGGAAGATGGAGATGTTGGAAAGGAGGATGAGAAGGAATGGCGCGGAGATGGACTTATTGGGTTACGTGGGCTTGGATTAGGAAGCCAGCAGAAGAGCATTGCTGAGATGATTCAGGTACACAGAGAAAATAAAATATTATTATATTGGTTTTGGTTTGTCAGCTCCACGTTTCTAATTGATGGCTGTTGATATTTGTTAACTTGTTTATTGTGCCTGTTAAGTAAATTTTGAAACATTATTCCTGTTTATAGTGTTTGTTGAATGCTTTCTGTTTATATCGCTTTTTGCATCTCAAAGTTGGTTCTTTGACATTGCATTGGCATGCTTATGACTTAGAGGTCGTTTGGCTGTCGGTTAGAGAGGAGTCATCCATCTATTAAAACTAGCATAACTTTGTACATTGTTTGGCTACAAAAATGGAGGAAAATAATCTCCGCATAGAATCTAGCATAAGTTATACAATGTCAGGTTGTGTTTTTCTCTTTTCCACATAAAACATAGCATTGCTAATACAATATTTGGTTCATGTTTTCCTTTTCCGCATAACTAATACATATATAAGTTGTAAGGGAATCTATGTATTATTTATGCATGATAGAAGATGGAATAAATAATACTTGTTAGTAATACACGGATCAAAACACAAAATGACAAGAATACCCTCTATTCAAAGTTGTATTTTTTTTAAAAACATATTTAAAATATACTACCAATTTTAGTAGAATAAATTAAACAAATTATTACTAATACTCACATTACATTTTTATATTACTAATCCCTGCATAATTAATTTTCGTATAACTAATCCCCGCATAATTAATTCTCGTGTTACTAAATCTTGCATAACTAATCTCTGCATAACTAGTCCCTGCATAACTAAAACCTTGCATAACTAAACCCCTCAACAACTAAACCCTGCATAACTTATTCCTACTAATACATTATTAATCCATGCATAACTCGTGTTCGAACCAAACAGCCCTTTTAAGGTTGTAGCTCTCTGCATTTTTGAATATTGCTTGTCTGTAGCATTACTGTTTGTATTCATGTATTAGTCTGATTTGCACGATTGCCACTTCTTTAACCAGATGTCATTATTGCTGGTTGTCGTTTTCCTGATTGTCGAAGTGTGATAATTAGTATTTTGTGATACGTGTTAAGTTTTTCCACCTGTGCCTTTTGGTTACCTTGGACAAAAAAGGAAAAAGGAAAGGAAAAGGGAAAAAGTAGCTTAACATAGTTGAAACTTAAAACGTATACGCTTGGCTTTTATATGGTAAATCAGCTCAGAAGCTGGTGGTCGGTGGATCAAGCTCGTGTCCTTTAATTGTTGTGGTAGGAAAAAATATGTGAATTGTCTGTTGTGCGTGCTTGTTTTGTTCTGAAATCTTTTGAAGTTTGACTGTTTAATTTTGTATGCCTGCCAGATTTCCTGTTATTGAGTCTCTGCAGTTCTCATTTCATACAATTATTGTTCTTCATTAAGTTGGAGTCACACATTTGTGGTCTGAGTCATCTTGGATTCTTTCAGGGACAGTTTTGTTGGTGAGATACAGTAGATTTTTTTTTTATCTCGAGGAAATTGGTAAAATGTTGCTTATGCAATTTGTAGACCTTGTGGGCATTATAATTTAAACCCGTCCAAATATTTGGTTGCTCCAGCTTGTTCAACTGGAACAGCATGTACTTGGGTTTGACAATTAATGCATCAAGATATTTTTCAAGTTGGAAATGTTGTGTGTCAGACACGTGTTTGGAAGAGAGACCAGACTCTTTTGGTCGTTCTATCCAGTTTCCTAATACACAAATGTCTCCTCATACCGATGTCAATAAATGTCTTTTGCCTTTTTTCACCACCGGCTACCTAATGTCACGGTACACCTGTAAAATTGATAAGGTTAAGGAAAACTAATCACCGTCTTTATTTTCAGCATATTAAACCCTTTAAATGGACCTTACAATGAGTAAAATTGATAAGGTTAAGGAAAACTAATCCTAATTAAACTAGAATAAGAATAAAGCTAAGAAAACCTATCCTAACTAAAATAGGAAAAAGAATCTAGTAAGAATGGGATACGAATTAACAATCATTGTTTGACTAGAACTACGAATATAATCCTACTAAAACAAGAATTAGATTACTAGGAAGCAAGAAATGCGAAATCCTAATCCGTAAGGAAAAGAAATCCTATCTTGATTGGATCGTTGGACTTTTGGATTTTTAGCTTCTTGATCTTGCATCACAAAGTAACATGGGTAATCATTTGACTTTAGTGGGACGGATCCTTATCCAAGCACAAAAAGGAGCTTAATAGCGCACATATAATCAAATATCCGGTGATTATGTCCTGTGTGCCATAACTGTATTTCATCCGCATGTCTTACCTTTCGGGCCAGAATTCACAGTCCAAATCAAGTTTCCATTTGTGGTCTGAGTCATCTTGGATTCTTTCAGGGACAGTTTTGTTGGTGAGATACAGTAGATATTTTTTTTTATCTCGAGGAAATTGGTAAAATGTTGCTTATGCAATTTGTAGACCTTGTGGGCATTATAATTTAAACCCGTCCAAATATTTGGTTGCTCCAGCTTGTTCAACTGGAACAGCATGTACTTGGGTTTGGCAATTAATGCATCAAGATATTTTTCAAGTTGGAAATGTTTTGTGTCAGACACGTGTTTGGAAGAGAGACCAGACTCTTTTGGTCGTTCTATCCAGTTTCCTAATACACAAATGTCTCCTCATACCGATGTCAATAAATGTCTTTTGCCTTTTTTCACCACCGGCTACCTAATGTCACGGTACACCTGTAAAAGGTTGTTTTATCATTTTTTTGGTGGCTTCCATCTGACTCAGTTGAGTTATTCACATTCATGTCATTGTTACTGACCTTTCTGATGTACCTTCAAAAACCTGGAATTACTTTGAATCACCGGTAACCACTACTAGGACAGACTTGCATTCTTTGATCAATAATATCTGTAATCCATTCTCTTATCTTTATATTGAGTGATTTGTAAAGGTGTATAAATTTTTTACTGAAGATGGCATTTTGTGTAGTTCTTATGATAATTTTTTTCAGGGTGCTGCAAGTTGCATTATTATTCTTCCTCTATTCAGCTTGACTTGCTAAGCGAGTTCTTTTTCTTTTCTTTTCTTTTCTGGTGACTTTGATTTAAACGGCTGTGGGTTTATTGTTCTAAGACTCCTTCGGAAATGCAGGATGGTAGAAGTCAAGCAACGTCTACTTCGAGGCATCCATCTTGTCCACCTAGCCGTGCATTCGATGATGTTGTCGATCCTTCTGGATCCCAATTTGCTCATCTCCATCACGAGTTGGCATCTTTGGATGCATTACATTCTCAGGCAAAGATCCAAGGCACATCTGCACTCCAAAGCGTCACCACATCAGGCTGTCAATCTTATGCTTCTGCTTTGGGCTCATCATTGTCGCGAAGTACCACCCCTGACCCTCAGCTTGTAGCTAGAGCTCCTAGTCCTCGTATTCCTTCTGCTGGAGGAGGGAGGATAAGCTCAATAGATAAAAGAAACGTAAATGTCCCTAACACATCGGAGAACATTCCATCTAATATGGGGGAGCATGCTGATCTGGTAACTGCATTGTCTGGCATGGGTCTGTCAGTGCATGGTATGGGAGATGTACGAAAGCATCAAAATACTCAAAATCATAATGAGATTGATAATCACCAGAACCTCTTTCATCTGCAGAGGGATCAAAATCCTATGAAGCAGCATTTCTATGCGAACGAGTCTGAATCAGTTCAGTTTCGTAAATCTGCATGTTCATCTGCTGCTTCATACTTGAAAGGGCCTTCTAACCCAACTCTCAGTAGTGGAGGAAGTTCACCATCTCAATATCCAGCTGTTGATAATCCTAATTCAATGTTTTCTCCATATGGTTTAGGAGGTTATGATATGAACCCTTCATCACCATCGATGTTGGAAAACCAACTTGGGGGTGGTAATTTTCCTTCATTATTTGAAAATATTTCTGCTGGGGCAACAATGGGTGCCTGTGGAATTGATCCTCGAGCAATGGCAGGAGGCTTGAATTTTTGTCCTAATCTATTGGCTGCTGCAGCTGAATTACAGAACATTAATAGACTTGATGGTCAGACCTTGGGTAGTTCACTGCAAATACCTCAGGTGGATCCCATGTACCTTCAGTACTTGAGATCAACTGAGTATCTTTGTGCTCAGCTATCAGCTGTTAATGACCCAACTGTTAGCAGGGGATCTCTAGGCAATTCATACATGGATTTGCTTGAGCTTCAGAAAGCATATTTTGGGGCACTGTTTGCGTCTCAAAAATCACAGTATGGTCTTTCGTGTCTTGGAAAATCTGGTGGCTTAAATAATGGTTACTATGGGAATATAGCACTTGGCGTTAATATGTCATATCCTGGAAGCCCTTTGGCTGGTGCAGCTCTTCACAATTCTCCCTTTTGGCCTGGTAGTCCTATAAGGTATGGCGAAAGGAACATGCATTTTCCTTCAGGGATGAGGAACTTATCTGGTGTAATGGGAGCTTGGCATTCCGAGTCTAGTTCTAACTTGGGAGAAAGCTTTGCTTCGACATTATTGGATGAGTTTAAGAGCAACAAAAGTAAGTGTTTGGAGCTGTTGGAGATTGAAGGCCATGTTGTTGAGTTCAGGTAAACTTTACTGGCTAATACTTCTTTCCTTCCATTTCATCTAGACTTCTATAAGCCTGTAAGTTGATCAAAAGTCTTGTGTCATTAGTGCGGACCAGTATGGAAGCAGGTTCATTCAACAGAAGTTGGAGACCGCTACAACAGGGGAGAAGAACATGGTCTTCTCTGAAATTATGCCACAAGCTCTTTCATTGGTGACTGATGTGTTCGGTAATTATGTGATCCAGAAGGTGTGTTCATGCAGATATATGTTTTTCGGCAAACATTTTTGGATGTTGTTGTTAGCTTAAGTTAATATTTGGCATATCTTGTGTTCACTGTCCCTTGATGTACTTTCAAGTTTTGCACCTCTCAAGTACAAAGAACAGAGAAATACAAAAGCATCCCGCTAAAGTTTTTCACAAAACTAGTAAAAGCATTTTTTTCAAACTCACGTTAGAAGAATGTAAGATGAAAAGAAACCTCACTCACACGTTCTTCATTCTCGCAAGATTGTAAGAAGTGTTGAATAAAGTAAGAACAATGAAATAAAAAGTAAATTACGTTTTTGAAGCAACAGCTTAACTTTGACAGGGAGATGAAAAAGAATTCCTGTCTTTAGAAGTAAATCCCACTAAAATAGACTTGTACGCTTGACATGAAAAGCAGAGGCAAGCGGAGTCAAAGGCCGAGCCTCAACCCTTAACACTCAGCTTAGAGCATTCAATCTCGCTTTCACCCTTTAGAAGGACAGAAAGCACTAGGGATTCAGACAGAAGTAGTAACCATCTTGCGGTCCTTCCCGTTACGTTAAGGCGAGTTTCTCGAACAAATACTTTTTTTATAGGTGCATGGAAGCTATTAAATGTAAAAACTAATCACCCATGTTTATTTTCAGCATATTGAGCCCTTTAAATAGGCCTTACAATGAGCAAAATTGATAATGTTACGGAAAATGAATCCTAATTAAACTAGAATAAGAATAAGGCTAAGAAAACCTATCCTAACTAAAACAGGAAAAAGAATTCTAGTAGGAATGGGATACCAACTAACAATCTTAGTTTGACTAGAACTACAAATATAATCCTACTAAAACAAGAAATAAATTACTAGGAAACAAGAAATAAGAAATCCTAATCTTTAAGGAAAAGAAATCCTAATCTTGAATGGATTCTTGGCTTCTTGAATTTCCCACTTTCTTGGCCTTCTTGATCTTGCATCTTCCTCCCCTAGTTGAAAAGATTCATTCTCGAGTCTAACAACTTCCATAGATGGTGCAAGATTTGCTATAGTAAGAATGGAGACCCAAGGTGGGAAAAAAGAAAAAAAATGGGGTCGCAATGCTCACCGGGTTTTAAGTTACATTTTGCTAGTTTATCATAGAGCTTAGCATGTGGTCGAACAAGATCCCACTTTCTAATTTTCAACTTTCTACCAAGTCTTCTCCATGTAATCTTTCTCTGTTGACTCTCAACCTTCAACTTATGATATGAAGTTATTGGTGTTAGAACTTTATGAAACTTAGCCAACTCCATGTCTAGCTTTGACTTAAGCATGGTACGCTCTTCTTGGGAATGCATCAATTGCATCGCTTATACACCAACATTTACTTTGATTTTATATATACACACACACATTAACACAATATGTTGCCTTATTTGGATGATAGAGTCTAACTATCAAGTCAATATTGTTTGAGCATCTGTGAAAGGCGGAAAGTGAATGACACAAATTGTTTGATACTCCAATGGATTGTCATAAAACTTTGGTGGTAAATCCTCAACTTTTGGATCCAATGCAATGTTCCTCGTCTCTTTGATATTGGTCTTCATCAGCTTTGTCCTCTTCACTCCTTTGATTATCTGAACATTTATCATCTTGGACATAGTGCCTTGATATTCTTATGTCTTGGTCAGCTTCAACCTTTTCAACTTGCTCAATATATCTTGCTCTATGTGGTTGAATTGGTGGATATCGTCGTGATAGACGTGTGTGTGTGTGTGTGTGGGGGGGGGGGGTTGTAGCTTTGTGGCGGATTTGGTAGTTTCTGATTTTGAAACACCAAACCTTCAACCAAGTCAGTGAGATACTTCATTGATTCCACCAAGCTATATAGCTGCACTTTAATTTCTTCATTACCTCGTTCAAGGATTGTAATTCTTAATTTCTGAATTTTTAATTGAAGAAGATCACAAACTTGCTATTTTCTTGTTTGGTGACACGATGAATAAGATCGCAAGTCAAGAATTCGGACCTGGAACCCATGCTCTGATATCGAAATGATGTACTTTTGAGGTTTTGCACCTCTGTAGTACAAAGAAGAGAGAAAAACAAAAGCACCCCGCTAATTTTTTTTTACAAAACTAGTGAAAGCATTCTTGAAACTCACGTTAGTAGAATGTAAGATGAAAAGAAACCTCACTCACACGTTCTTCAATCCCGCAAGATATAAGAAGCGTTGAATAAAGGAAGAACAATGAAGTAAAAAGTAAATCACGATTATGAAGCAAGAGCTTAGAAAAACTAATCTCCCATGTTTATTTTCAGCATATTGAGCTCTTTAAAAGGCCTTATAATGAGCAAAATTGATAAGGTTAAGGAAAATTAATTCTAAATTAAACTAGAATAAGAATAAAGCTAAAAAAACCTATCCTAACTAAAATAGGAAAAAAGATTCTTGTAGGAATGGGATACCAACTAACAATCCTAGTTTGACTAGAACTACAAATATAATCCCACTAAAACAAGAATTAAATTACTAGAAAACAAGAAATCATAATCTTCAAAGAAAAGAAATCCTAATCTTGAATGGATTCTTGGCTTCTTGAATTTCCTACTTTCTTGGCCTTCTTGATCTTGCATCACTTGAGCCGATGGTTTATTGGAAACCACCTCTCTACCTTCAGAAGGTAGGGATAGGGTCTGCGTATATCTTACCCTCCCCACCAGACACCGTTTGTGGGATTACACTGTGCTTGTTGTTGTTGTTGTACTTTTTGAGCAAAATGCTATTAATCTTTTATGGAATCAGAAACCTGATCTTCTTTGTTCTCTTTTTCCTATCTTTCACTTTTTCAGTTTTTTGAACATGGAAGTGCATCTCAGATTAGAGAACTAGCTGACCAGCTCAATGGGCATGCTCTAACACTTTCTCTTCAAATGTATGGTTGCCGAGTGATCCAGAAGGTATTGATTGTGTTTCTAATTATATCTGTTCAAAATCTGATCTCTATTCTGTCTTCGGTGCTCTTCAAATTTTGGATTTGTTACACTTTCTGATTCACTATTAATTGGGATAATAGTTTAATTGGTTTGGAGAGAATCCTGTCACTGAATTGGCTATGTATTGCTAAAGCTGCGGACAAATTGATACCTTTGCGACTTGGCTATTTTCTTGTTATGTAAAGTGAAATTTCATTTCTTTATAAGCTGATTTAATGGGGCTATCTTATTCCTACGGTAGACCTTCTCCCCTGAAAGCCACATTAGCTGCTTCTTGTCTTTGTTAATATGCGTATACTATCCTTGATAAAAAAAATAAAAATACAAAATGCGTATACTATGTGATAAGGAACTGAACATCCAATTTTTTGCGTTGTTTCCTATGATCAGAGTGTTATGATGTCACAACTTCCTTTCTCAAATACTAACAATGTTCTTTTCTTGGTATGCCAAATTTCACTCTCCCAAAGTAAAATGGAAACAATCTAAGTTGTATATCTGTATTCCTCATCATAAGCTTTCGTGATATCTGCTGGTTTTCCGGGTTGGTAACATTTGGCAGAACCATTACCTTTGGCCCGGCAAGTGGGGTTGGGTTGGGTGGGGGGTTAGGGATACACATTGATAATCTGTATAATAAGATGCACATACTTAAATAGAAAAATTAGATAGAATAATCTTTACTCATGCTTTCACTCTCTTTTAAAATATTTATTTCACTATTGAGACTTCAACTATTTACAAAACTAGTATAGCTACCTGCGCGATGCGCGGTCAATTTCAAGATTTTGCTTGTTATAAAATAATTGTGTAAAGCTTATATGAGAGAATGCTAGCATATTTGGCACACTTGACATTTNGGCGACTATGATATTTGGCACACTTGACATTTTATAATAATTATACTTATAAAAGACAAAACAATATAAATGCATAGTTCATTGTCTAAATTTGTTAACCATAATTTTTAGCATTATTTAATTAGTTACTATATTTCAAATTAATCAATATCATAAATATACTCAAACAATCCCTATCATCCTCTTGTATGCATTTTTTTACTATAATATTTTTACTTAATTTTTTATTTAGTGTTTTGCCTATAATTCAAATATTAATTTTGAACTACTTTTATTTTGTTTTCAATATGATATATTAAATTTTAGTTTTAACTATTGATATTATCAACATATGAATTTGAATTATAGTTATTTTTATTCAATATCTATTAAGATTTCAGTTAGACGCCGTATCTGTGCAATATATTTTTTCTGAAATTCAAAGACTTTCTCATATCAAATTCGAGGGGCAAGTGCACAGATAACTATTCTCAGGGATGCTATTTAGGAATTAGCCAGTACTTATTTTGTCATGAAATTTTAAACTAAAAAACTTAATTTCAGGACAACTCAGGACATTTTTGTCTTGAAAAATTAAACTGAAAAACTGAAATTTAGAATACACTGACTAATTTCTAATTAGCAGTCCTTCAAAGTGGCTACTTGGTGTCATTTCTACCAAATTCAAATATGCTTATCCTTGTTCCATATTTTTTGTTGTGATTGCATGTTTAAGTACTTTATTATTTATTTGCTTTTCACTCATGTCCGTGCCTATCTCTCCTTTTTAAATATATAATATGAATAAATATTTTTACTTCTTAAATCTAAACTATTTTGATACTCTTATTTTATTACTCAAAATTGCTTTATTATTAAAAAATAAATATTATTTCAACCGCTACAAATAATGTAAATCAACGGAGATTTCAACCGTTGTACTCTTATTACTTAATTGCTTGAACTTTTCGTAACTTACAAACAAAAATTTGATTTACTATTATTCCATAAATTATATGGATTTTAAAATATTATATTAAACTTCCAAAGCTAATTTGAGTTTTCCCGTCGTTGAATAATTATACAGTTACTAATCATTAGTTTAGACCAACTTGATAGAAAAAAAATGGAAAAACAACCATAGTATGTGCTGATGTTTCAAATGAACTAAATAAAGAACATAAAGAACTAAATTATTAACACCGCAAGAAATCAAAGATACATGGGAGAAGTCAGGGTATGTTTTCGCAGATAATTGATTCTCTAAAGATGGTTGTAAATGCAATTTTTCATAAGCTATATTCAAGTAAGTCATAGCCCAGAGATATCATCACTATGGAAAAAAATAAGCAAGGAAATACAAAATTACCATTAATTATATAGTGTTCCTAATTGTTCCATGTTGCGTTGTCCACGTATCAAGCTAAACTCCTTCATATGTAATGTAGCAGATACAAATACGAAATAATCGGCAGAGAATGAATATGAATATGAATATGAATATTCCACATATTAAAAGGAAGAGCACAAAATAGAAAAAACTTTCACCAAATAGGAAAAAATCGTAGGAAACCGTCATTGTTGGAACACAACAGTTGACAAAACTTATTTCCTTCCGTTGGTAAACATTTAAAAGCCAATAATTAACAAAAAAGATAATAATAAAATAATAATAAATAAGCAATCAAAAAGGGGGAAAATAACTAATTTTGATTTTGAATTTAAAAATAACTAAATAACTTATTATAACTAATCTATTTAATTTTATCCTAAAACTACCACATGTCTTTTTCCTATGTTGCCACTTGTCATAATTCTAGGCTAGACTTTCTTCCTTTTAAATATATATAGATTCTCGCTAAAGTGCTATAATTGTTGAATTTGAATTATATCAACATATTAAATGAGTTCTTAAAGTTCAAAGCCATATTAGTTATTCTATGTAAACAAATGTTAAGCAGGTGAAAACATATGTTACCTTGTTGATTTTAATCCAATTATATCGACAAGCTGTAAAACACATTGAAACTATCTCTTCTGTTTGTCTCTGATCTGCATTTTGTAGTATCTCCTTATTATTACGTTTTATGCAGTTTCAATCCATGTTTCTATGTTCAGGCTTTCCCTTGAAAGGATAGTCAATAAAGTAACTACTAGAAAAAAATAGTGTTTTGTTGATTAGCATGATTCAAGGAGACTTGATTTAGGAGTGTTGATTAGCAAGATTTTAGGAGATTTGATTATATTTAGAAGATCTGATTTTATTCTGATTTGATTTGATAGATGGATTGATTGTATAGATTTATTTTATTTCCTTAATTAGCATTAGGAGCTTTGTATAAATTCCCTTGCTCATGGGATGTAAAAACACACAGAAATACAAGAAGCCTTTTCTTCTTCTCAAAATCTACATGGTATCAGAGCCATTGCTGCATTTTTTAGGTGAGTTATCTCCCTCGTATCAGTAGGGTTCCGTTTTTTTCAAAAAGGTCGAATTTTCTCTCTCTTGGTGGTTGTCCGCAACACAAACCTCTTCTGGTTCCGTTGAGGCAGATTTGGTTTCCGGCGAGGCAGACTATTTTTGAGCAATTTTCTTTAGATTTTCTTTTGATTGGGATGAAATATGGAGACATTCAAGGAGACAGTTTCTGGAGAAATCTTGTCTTCGAATGCAATTCAGCTTCTTCGTCGCCTACTGGCCAAACTTGACTCTGCTAATGTTGCCACATCCAATCATGTGCACTTAGGTACTGCCTTTGCTGCTCGCCTTAATACTTGAATTGTTGGTTCTGGTGCAAATAGACACATGACAGGCTCTTCTAAAGGCATTCAAAACTATTCTCCGTGTCTTTAACACCTATCTCTGGAACAGGTTTTGTCGTTTGTACTCCTAATATTAAACTATCATCCGTGCTCCATGTCCCTGAGTTCCTTGTCAATCTTTTTTCTGTTAGTGCCATCTCCAAAGCTCTAAACTGTAAAATCGAGTTCTTTCCCGATAATTGTATTTTCCAGGATCTTCAAACTGGGAAAAGGATTGGCAGTGGTAGATTGCATGATGACTTGTATATATTAGATGGATTCAAAACTCTAGTCAAGCTTTTTTTGGTAAAAGTAAGGATGTCAACCAAGAAATAATACAACGACATAGACATCATAAGAGGTTATATCCCGATTTGTTTTCAAGGACTCAATTTGAATTTTTGTTCTGTGATGCGTGTAAATATGCCAAGCATTTCTGCGATGCGTGTAAATATGCCTAGCATACTAGAAGCTCTTATCCTGTGAGTGATAATAGATGCACAACTCCGTTTATGGCTATTCATTCTAATGTATGGGGTCCTACCCAAACTATTTTTTTTGTCTGGTAGTCGATGGTTTGTTACTTTCATTGATTGCTGCACTGGGATGACTTGAGTATATTTGTTAAAAGCCAAAAGTGAAGTTTTGTCTTGTTTTCATTCATTTCATAAGATGATTTGTACTCAGTTTGATGCCAAAACAAAAATCTTGAGAATTGACAATGGCAACAAATACATGGATAAAAGATTTGGTGCTTATTTGGAGTCCAATAGGATAGTCCATCAGACTAGTTATCCTTACAGTAGTGCACAAAATGGGATCGCTGAAAGAAAAAATAGGCATTTGTTATAAGTAGCACGATCTCTTATGTTCACCATGCATCTACCAAAACCTTATTGGGGGAATGCTATTCTAGTGGTTGCCTATCTTATCAACAGAATGCCACTTAAAACCCTTAATTTCAAAGTCCTTCTGGAAGCTTTAAAGGGTAAGAATGATATACTGTTCCTCCAATGGTGTTTGGGTGTGTTTGCTTTGTCCACACTATTAATTCTGGAAAACTAGATCCTAGAGCTATAAAGTGTGTTTTCATTGGGTATTCTCCGACACAGAAAGGTTACAAATGTTATCATCCTCCCTCTAGGAGATCTTTTGTTAGCATGGATGTTACCTTTCGAGAATCTGAGCCCTATTTCTAGGGGTGTGCATTCGAATCGGTTTATCGATAAATCGAATCGATTATTTGTTATCGGTTTATCGATTTATCGATTTCGATTTCGAAAATTTTCCTTATCGAGTTATCGATTTCGATTTCGATTTTGTCCTCTTCGGTTATCGGTTTATCGATAAACCGATAAGAAATACTAAAAAATTTTTTTTTTTTTTTAACCCTTATTCTATAATACCCTTTCCTTTACCCTAAGTCCCTAAGCCTATTATTTCATCTACCACATTTAAGGAATGATCATATTTAAAGTTCAAGGGAATGAAGTTCAAATTAATGGATAATAGAATTAGCCGTGATGATGTATTCTTTTTTAATACCGTTGGAGTGTTGGTGGCATACATTTGATCCCTTACTTTAGTTTCGTTGCATGTGCTTGTTGACACAATTTTTATGTTATAAACGGTGTTCGTCTTATTTTAGCTTCTTTTGGTCCATATTAGTTAGGCGTGTTTATAGCGATATACTTTCCGTGGAATCCCGCAAATTTTCTTATTGGTGTAATCGATAACCGAATCGATAAGCCCCAAAAATCGATAAATTGAAATCGAAAATATCGAAACCTTATTGAAACGATAACGATAAGCATATGTACAAATCGATAATCGATAAGTAATTATCGATAAGGGTCAAAATCGAATCGATAAATCGAATGCACACCCCTACCTATTTCAGTATTACCTCATCACCTCTTCGGGGGGAGAGCAGTAAGGAGAAAGAGGTGATTCTACCTAGTTGCATTAGTGGACCTCTTGATGACATTATCACAGGGGAAAGTGAAATTGGAGAAAGAATTCGGGGGAGACTATTGGGCGTTTGGTTATGCCTGATTTGGAAACTTACTCAAGGAAAAATAGAGCAAAAGAAGCCATTATGCAATCTACCGAAGCTGAACCTTCTTCTACTGGTGAGTTATCTACATTTCCTAATGAGTTGGATGAACCTATTGCTCATAGAAAATGAGTCAGATCTTGCACCACCAAACATCCTTTATCTAATTTTGTCTCCTATAATTCTGTCTTCCTCCTATAGAGCCTTTGCCTTGTCTATTTCTTCTGTGTCTATTCCCCACAATTGGAGGGAAGCTTTTGCAGATCCTAAATGGAAGCAAGCTATGATTGAAGAAATGAAGGCCTTGTCAAAAAATTAGACTTGGGAACTTGTCACCTCACCACTAGACAAGAAGTTGGTTGGCTGCATAGTTCGTAATTAAAGGATTACAGATATTAACAACTAGTATAAGTGTTAATTACAGAATTGGATGATGTTGGAGTAAATAATAAAAGTTTGCCCAGCCTTGAAACTTTCAGCTGAAGATAACTTAAACATGTCCTGCACACTCGTGTTAGTCCTTCTGGCACATGAAAATTTTAAAATCACATTGTTTAGTAATATGTGAGCAATTTTAGTCAGTGTAGATGGCCAACTAAACTATCCATGTTTCATCACTTATTTTGATTGATTTAATATTAAAAATATCAATTTTCTAAGTTGGTGCAAAGTTATCTGAAGTTGCTGAGAGTGAAAGTTTTGTAAAACATGAAAAATTAATTTTAAGAGTATCTCCAGCATATAGGAGATTGGCTGATTAATGATTCCCATAAAATGTGAGATCTGTATACTGCTTCAATACATGGAGAAGTTTGAATCTTTCCATATTAGAAAGTCATGAAATCAAAGATTAAATCAATTAGGTTACCACTTTTTTGTCACTTGTTAACTAGGTTAGAGTTTTCATGCGAGTGAAGACGACATCCAACAAGTTAATAGACTGGGTGGTAATCCTGGTTGAGTGTTTAAACCTAAGTTGCTAGGACACGGGTGCGGGTGTCTGATACGGGTGTGGATCTAGAGGTCGGATCCTTCGAGATGTAAATTTTAAGATTCGGGGATACAGATCCTAGTACGGATATGGGTGTACAGATCCGGCTAAAAATAATTCAAAAAAAGAAAATATCTCTAAAATATGAGAAATTTTGTGGAATACTTACGTATAGCTTGTAAAGTCTGGATTTCTTTTTTATTCTCAAGTTGTAGATAAGTAAATGATTGATTTCCCAGATAATGTATGCTATTTTCTTCAAATTTACCCTAGTTTTGGTTCTAATTTCGGGAATCAAATTGTATCTCGTCTCGATTTTTTCTGTTCATCGTGGTCAAAGTACCCAAAATTGTTTGACCAGATCTGGTGCAGATCCCATACCCACACCCATACTAGTGTCATGTTGACACGGGTGCGACACCTAAGCTGCCGTGTCAGAGCAACTTAGGTTTGAACTGTAGAAGCAGGGTTTAGTGGGAACGTTGAATCCCATGTTGTCTTCTGTCAGATTGTATCTTTAGTGGTAACGATAAAACTCTTTTTTTATGGATGTTGGATGGTTTTTTTTTTTTTAATATTTAGTCAATGGCATACCCTTAGTAAGGTTGCAAAGTTGATACCCTCTTGGTGTAATACGAAAGGAAATGATTGAATTATTATATGAAAGTGTTGCGTGCTGCAAAGTTGACTCTTAGGGTTCACTGGGATCAAAAGGCTTTTAATAGGCTGGCCTTGTTTCCCGTCTCCGATCGCATTGTTATTGAACTATTGATTATGTAGTTATGGGGATTGATTGACGGGGCTTCTGTCTGGATTCTGTACCTAGTGCCTCACAGAATGGACATTGGCATTTTTGTAATCTAAAATACCTATATCTTCTAAGCATCATGCTGCTGTAAGTATTTTTTCTGTTTGATAGCTACTAGTCTAGTTTGACTTAGGCTGTGTGTCAATCATTTCTCTGTGATACTTCACTGCTAGTATTTGAGGTTATCTTTTCTTGTACCGTCATGAATATTTCAGGCCATAGAGGTTGTTGATCTGGACCAGCAAACCAAAATGGTCACAGAGCTTGATGGTCATGTTATGCGCTGTGTTAAAGATCAGAATGGGAATCATGTTATCCAGAAGTGTATTGAATGCGTACCAGAGGATGCCATCCAGTTCATTATTTCCACATTTTATGATCAAGTTGTGACATTGTCCACCCATCCATATGGATGTCGGGTCATACAGGTCAACACTTAATTGCATGTAAATTCTATTTTGGTATTCTGAGTCCATGGTATGAGCTTTGTTTCTATTTTTACTTTGACAGAGAGTCTTGGAACACTGCCATAATCCTGAAACACAGAGCATTGTGATGAAGGAGATTTTGCAATCTGTTTGCATGCTGGCACAAGATCAATATGGGAATTATGTTGTTCAGGTTTGCTGCATATCTCAGCTTCCATAGCACATTACCAATAAGATGTTGTCAAGAGAATGCTAATTTACCAGAATATGTGAACTGGTCTATTAAAGCTTAAAGCCAATCATCTCCTTTTCTATACTGGTTCCTATTTTAGGTAAAGGATCGGTACTTCGTCTGTTGGTGTTTAATTTATTCATCTCTTAGATAGCTCATTGTGGGGAACAGAGAAGACCTTTGAAACACCACCATTGTTATATTTAAGGGACTTTTCAGTTGTCTCCCATTGAGCCAAAAAAATGAAAATTGATTTAACACAACAACTATGCCTCCGTCCTAAACAAGTTGGGGTCGGGAATATGAATCCTCACTAACCACGTTACTCCATTTAAAATCATTTCATGCCAATATTATGAACATATAAATACAAAGTATTAAAAGTGGTGTATATTTTCTAAACGTAAAAAATCTCTGAAAGGGTAAACCATTGTCACGACCTAAAAATCCCACCTTTGGCCGTGATGGCGCCTAGCTGTACTTGCTAAGCAAGCCAACTCACAATCTACAAAAATAAAGTCGAATTCCTTTAATTAATATTAATATTATAAATAAAGATAGAAGTACTCTCAAAGCAGTAAAATATCTTATACAGTCATAATATGGCCTTGACTCGGCAATACAGTACAACCCCCAAGACTAGGTGGCACAAGTACACGAGTAACTACTACAAGTCTCAATACATGAACAAAGCTGTCCGAAATAGTAAAACAGACGGGGAATGATGAAAGGACAGGGACTCGGGAACTACAAAATGAATCCATGGACTGTAGCTCACCCTAAGTCTCCGTGCGGTCACCTAAGCTCAATCAAGAGGCTCCGCTAGAACCTACCTGAGGATCTGCACAAAAAGATGTGCAAAAACGTAGTATGAGTACACCACAATCGATATCCAGTAAGATCAAGTCTAACCTCAAAGAAGTAGTGCCGAGGCTATAGGCATCATGATACTTACCACACATAAATAACAGAGCTTTGAACTGAGATAGCTTACTAGTTATAGCCTTCGCTTCAGTTTTCTAATTGCACTACCTAGTGTTAGTTTTGTTTTAGCTTGGTTTTTTGATAAGTTTGCTTGTCATTGCCCTTCCGTTTATCTTTCTTGAGCCGAAGGTCTACCGGAAACAACCTTTCTGCCTTCTTAAAGGTAAGGGTAAGGTCTGTGTACACACTACCCTCCCCAAACCCTTGTGAGAATACACTGGGTTTGTTGTCATTGTTGTTGAACTGAAATAGCAAGCAATCTCATGAATAACAAGAATCGAAACAACTGGAAGGTATAAAACATGCTTTTTCAATTTAAGAAATAATCATAATGCTGCTCATATATAATATTTAAAGATGGCATGTTTCAATCAACGGAGTCGAAGCTCCCAACTAGCATAAATAGATGGCATGTAACGATTAGCATCTAAATATATGCATCTTAATTAGTCAAGGGGATCTATGCATGCTCAAAACCGGTACAAGATCCATGTACTACAATACAAAATCCATGTAATACCATAACCCAATACAAAATCTATGTATCGACCGCTGACAGGGCCCAAAGTGATGTACTTTTTAGGTTTTGCACCTCTCATGTACAAAGAAGAGAGAAAAACAAAAGCATCCCGCTAAAGGTTTTCACGAAACTAGTGAAAACGTTCTTCAAACTCATGTCAGAAGAATGTAAGATGAAAAGAAACCTCACTCACACGTTCTTCAATCCCGCAAGATTGCAAGAATCGTTGAATAAAGGAAGAACAATGAAATAAAAAGTAAATCACGTTTTTGAAGCAAGAGCTTAGAAAAACTAATCACCCCTCTTTATTTTCAGCCTATTAAGCTCTTTAAATAGGCCTTACAATGAGTAAAATTGATAAGATTAATGAAGATTTATCCTAATTAAACTAGAATAAGAATAAGGCTAAGAAAACCTATCCTAACTAAAATAGGAAAAAGAATTCTAGTAAGAATGGGATACCAATTAATAGTTCTTGTTTGACTATAACTACAAATATTATTCTACTGAAACAAGAATTAAACTACTAAGAAGCAAGAACTACGAAATCCTAATCTTCAAGGAAAAGAAATCCTAATCTTGATTGGATTCTTGGACTTCTTGAATTTTTAGCTTTCTTGATCTTGCATCATTCTCCCCTGGTTGAAAAAGACTTGTCCTCGAGTCTAACAACTTCCATAGATGGCGCAAGATTTGCTATAGTAAAGAATAAGTACCCAACGCTCACCAGGTTTCAAATTGCATCTTGCTAGTTTATCATAGAGCTTTTTCACGTTGTAAGAAAACTTAGAACGTGGTCAAACTAAATCCCACTTTCTAAGTTTCAATTTTCTACCAAGCCTTCTCCATGTAATCTTTCTATGTTGACTCTCAAACTTCAACTTATAATATGAAGTTATTGATGTTAGAACTACATGAAACTTAGCCAACTCCATGTATAGCTTTGAATTAATCGTAGAGATCAACGCTCTTCTTGAGACTGCATCAATTGCTATGCTTGTAAACCAACAATCACTTTGACGATGGCCATATATATTTATGATGTGAAGATATCTTGTTTCTCCAATATACCTCAAACTTTCCATTATCCGCTCCTTTCTAGGTAATCCTTCTTCTTGTTCATGCATATTTTTATGGACTTTAAGATTAACGCGATCTGCTGACTTGTTTGGAATGATAAAGTCAACAATCAAGTCAATATTGTGTTGAGCATCTCTTAAAGGTGGAAAGTCAGTGACACACATAGCTGCATACTCCAATGGATCATAATAAAACTTTGGTGGTAAATCCTCTACTTGTGGATCCAATGCATGTTCCTTGTCTCTTTGATATTGGTCTTCATTAGTTTTGTCCTCTTCACTCCCTCGATTATTTGAATATTTATCATATTGGGCATGGTGTATTGGTACTCTCATGTCTTGGTCAGCTTCAACCTCTTCAACTTGCTCAATATATCTTGCTCTATGCGGTTGAATTGGTGGACATCGAAGTGGTAGACGTGGCGGTAGCACTGATATGTTATGTGGTCATTGAAGCACCAAACCTTCAACCAATTCAGTCAGATGCCTTATTGATTCCGTCAAGCTATTTAGTTGCAATTTAATTTCTTCATTGTCTCGTTCAAGGACTGGAGTTCTTAATTTCTGAATTTTTAATTGAAGATCCATTGAAGAGGATAACGAACTTGCTATTTTCTTGTTTGTGACACGACGAATAATATAGCAAGTCAAAAATTCGATTCTGAAACCTGTGCTCTAATATCAAATTGATGTACTTTTGAGGTTTTGCACCTCTCAAGTACAAAGAAGAGAGAAAAACAAAAGGAATAATACATAATCACCCCTCTGAGGTTGTCCAACTTTACCAGATGCACCCTTATACTTTGCGGGGTCCTATGACCCCCTGTCTTTGTTTAAACTGTAATAAATATCACCTTGATCAGTACCAATTTCAGGAGAAGTGGTGTAATGCACGCACCAACCATCTTTTGCCATGTAATTTTGTCTTTTTATTACTAATTTTATCAAATTTTGCAACATCTTTTATTAAAAGAATTTTTTTACTTTTCTTCTTTTCTTTTCTCCTTCCCTAACTGATATCGTTTCTCTCACCTGTAAACTTGAAGAATCCGGTGTCTAAGTCAAAAATCTCACTGAAAGAAAGGAAATCCAACCACCTCCAAAAAGAAAATCATAGAAACCAGCTGGTGGAAAACACCATCTTTCATAATAATCACCATTGTCAAAGAGATACGGTTAATGAAGTACTATAGAAAAAACTACCGGAAAATTAATAGGTTTGACCGGAAAAGCTTTACTCTGTGATCCCCTCCTCTTTCCTAACCCATCTCTCTGCGTTTTGTCTCTCCAAACCTGAAACCCCTCATAAAATACCACAAAATCAGTGTAGAAGAACCATTAATTACCGGAAAAGCAAACAGTAAATGAACTAATAGAGGTTCGGGCAGAAAATATTTTTCCGGCGACTGATGCTTTTTTATTTTCTCCTCCCAATCTCTCTCAAAACCCTCAATTTAGAAATCCCCAATCAAAAACAACCTTGAATTTACTATAAAGCACCTATTCAACACCAAATTTGAAGCTCCACAAATTGAATTCAACCTAGATTAGAACAACTAGATTTTTTCCTTTACATTCTTCCGTCTGACAGATTTATTTTAGCTTTTATTAAAAAAAGGAGATAAAGCAAACAAAATAGTCGAATGCTCCAACTTGACTGTGTCTGGAATTTGGAGAATGGAGGTCTGGCCTCTTTGATATATTATTGAGTAATGGAGGTTTAATTGTAGAAGAGAAAGAAGAAGAAAAAACGAACTGAAAAAGCCAAAGCCAAATAAAAATGTAAAAAAAAATTCAGATATGGGGCAGTATTTTTTGTTCTCACGCGCTATATTTGCGTGCAAAATTTTAAAGGTGCCACATCAGCTCAAAAGATGGTACTTATTACAGTTTAAATAAAGACAAGGGGTCATAGGACCCTCGCAAAGTATAAGGGTATATCTGGTAAAGGCGAACAACCTCGGGGGGTGATTATGTATTATCCCAAAACAAAAGCACCCCGTTAAAGTTTTTCACAAAACTAGTGGAATTGTTTTCAAACTTACGTTACAAGAATGTAAGCTGAAAAGAAACCTCACTCACACGTTCTTCAATCCCGCAAGATTGCAAGAATCGTTGAATAAAAGAAGAGCAATAAAATAAAAATTAAATCATGTTTTTGAAGCAAGAGTTTAGAAAAACTAATCACCGTCTTTATTTTCAGCATATTAAACCCTTTAAATGGGCCTTACAATGAGTAAAATTGATAAGGTTAAGGAAAACTAATCCTAATTAAACTAGAATAAGAATAAAGCTAAGAAAACCTATCCTAACTAAAATAGGAAAAAGAATCTAGTAAGAATGGGATACCAATTAACAATCATTGTTTGACTAGAACTACGAATATAATCCTACTAAAACAAGAATTAGATTACTAGGAAGCAAGAAATGCGAAATCCTAATCCGTAAGGAAAAGAAATCCTATCTTGATTGGATCGTTGGACTTTTGGATTTTTAGCTTCTTGATCTTGCATCACAAAGTAACATGGGTAATCATTTGACTTTAGTGGGACGGATCCTTATCCAAGCACAAAAAGGAGCTTAATAGCGCACATATAATCAAATATCCGGTGATTATGTCCTGTGTGCCATAACTGTATTTCATCCGCATGTCTTACCTTTCGAGCCAGAATTCACAGTCCAAATCAAGTTTCCATATACAAAATATATGCATTTGCTCAAGAATTATAGACAAAAGATGCACAAGGACATAACAAAATCATACGGATATGTGCTCACGGAATTTCTATATAGCAACGGATAATTTAAGCAATTCAACATATCAAGAATTAGTTCCCATGCCTTCATAGATAATCAAAAACCTAGGCATGATCATTAACATGACTAAGGGAGTGAATGTAGTCATAAAAGCCAAACAAATCATGAGTCAAATGAACACATAATCAAAATAAGGCATAAGTACCAAATTCTGCCCCGGGCATGATGTAAACTTGGAAAGCGTATATACGTTCTCCACTCTGTAGATACACCACCCCCAATACCTTAAACACATAGCAATCAAGTCAAATCTTAGGGGTTTCCCTCTTAACAAGGTTAGCCAAGAGACTTACCTCCACTCGATAGTCTTCAATCTTCCAAAATAGCCTTTCCTCTCAAATCCACTTCCGAACGAGTCGAATCTAGTCAAATACAACTCAGTAACGTCAAACAAAGCCATATGAATTAATTCCAGACAATAAAGTTCGAATCTTTAATCAATCCCCAAAAGTCAACAAAAGTCAATCCGGACCCACACGGTCAAAACCCGAGTCAAGGGGTAGATCCCGACCACCCATAATCCAACGAGTCCAAATATGTGATTAGATTCTAAAACTAACTTCAAATCGACCTTCAAATTCCCAAAATACACCCTCTTAAGTTGTAGACACAACACCCAAAATTTCCTTTATAATCTATGCTTTTAGGTGTAGAATTCCATTGGAAAATAAGATATAAAGTCGAATCCAAGTGAAAATTGCTTACTTTTAATGATGTAGTGAATTTGCTCCTCAAAATCTCTCACTCTTGAAGTCTAGGGCTCAAAATATGAAAAAGTAGATAGAAGTTGCGAAATAACAACTTAAATATTCTGCCCATTGATATGCATCCGGATCGCGACACATCCCTCACGATCACGAAGGTCAAAAATCTACCCTGCTGAAACTCCACTTCGCGAACGCGAAGTACCTTACGCGAACTCGATGGCTACTCCAGCATAGGGTCTACGGTAAAAGTACTAACATCTAAAACATATTCTCAACTAGTATGTATCCCCTACGTAGATCTTCCATTGTGCCCTATCTTCACTAAGTCTGTATGGATCACCAGTAATTGTAGGTCCGTCGAAACAATTTCCTTCTCTGTGATTTTGGGTCTAAGTTTGTCCTCTTTTAACACCTTCACTACCATGGTTTCACACCTACAGACCAGTGCATTTGGAGTTTGAGGTAGACATGACTAAACCATCTCAAGTCCTCGATGTGTGCTACTTGAACCTTCTTGTGAATGTGATAATTTCTTATCTTCTATGAACATAATCGCATCCACATCTCTGCGACATTCATCCTACTGTCATCAAACTCCCGTTACATGGTTGGAATATTTGGCCCTTTGCCAGCGGCACCCCAAGTCCTCTTAAAATGGCTGTTAACACTTACTTAAATTCCATGTTTATTGGGTGTAGAATTTTTAAGGCTTAAAATTTATGCATCTCATTTTTGGCGAATGTGCCAACTGTTTCTAGTTGCACCCATAGTAGAATGCATTCTCATGTCTCAGTGTTGTGCCGTTGATAAGTATCAGACATAGGTCATCAGCTCTCCCATTTTGAGGGGTTTGGTAAAGGGATTTGTTCTCACATTGTGTTCGATAACTCCTCAAGTACTGATGTGTTTTGTAACAGCATGTATTGGAACATGGAAACCCAGAGGAGCGTACTTCTATAATTAACAAACTGATGGGGCAGATAGTTCAGATGAGCCAGCAGAAATTTGCCTCGAATGTTGTGGAGAAGTGTTTATCCTTTGGAACTCCTGAAGAACGCCAGACCTTGGTAAATGAGATTCTGGGCTCTGAAGCTGAAACTGATCCTCTTCAGGTTTGTTAATTTTCAGATCCTTCCATTTTTAGTGGTATGCTCAAGCGTACTTAGAGTTCTCTGTACGCTTTGGCTGTCTAATTTAAACAAGATCTATTTCGATGTAATTGCTCTATTTAGGTGATTGAGCTTTATACTGTAGATGGATTTCTGAGAACAAATAATCCTGTTCACAAGCATTTGACCTTAACGAGTGACAATCAAGCAAATGTGCAGCATGGGCTTTTTCTAGTTTGAAAATCCTAGGCTTCTCTTTATTGGCTCCTTTTAGACCACGGTTCTATGATTTTTCTGGGTAACCATAGCTATTAAAACTAGAGCATGTTGGAAGTTTTAGCAAAAGGAGGAGATGTTGACTGACTTTCTTGTCATATATATCCGCATAGGAGAAAACTAGCTGTAATAATACAGATAGAGGAACATAGTTGTAACATAATATTGAGACAAATGTAGAACAGAAAAAGAAAAAATCGAAAAGAATTTGCTATAGACTGAACTTACTTAAACGAAGGAAATAAAAAATACGAAGTTCACATGTAACATTAGTAAACAAATTGTGGAAATGGTTTATTTAAAAGTACAAGATACTGATAGGTGTTTGTATCCAAAGAATTTACCTGTTGTTTGCTTTTATCTTATTTAATAAATGGCACAAGTAATATATTTGTATTCTAAGTTGCTCGGACACGGGTGCGGATCCCGAGGTCAGATCTAAGATTCGGGGATACGGAACCTAGGACAGATACAGGGGATCCGGCTAAAAACAATTCAACATTATAAAAATTTCTCTAAATTATGAGAAATTTTGTGGAAGAGTTAGTATAGCTTGTAAAGTGTGGATTTCTTTTTTATTTTCAAGTTGTAAAAAGGTAAAGGATTGATTTTCCAGATAAGGTATGCCATTTTCTTCAAATTTACCCTAGTTTTGGCTCTGATTTTAGGAATCATTTTGTATCTCGTATTGAATGTTTCTGTCCGTCGTGGTCAAAGTACTCAAAATTGTTTGACCAAATCCTGTACAGATCCCATACCCACACCCACACCCATACTAGTGTCGTGTCGACACGGGTGCGGCACCTAAACTGCCGTGTCGGAGCAACTTAGTTTGTATATACATTGTTTAAGAACCTAAATGAACAAAGGAAAAGAAAAATTGTGTCGAAGTGGGAAAATAGAGAGGATAGCTACTTTGTAAACCACAATTTCTTTCTTCAAATACGGTTCTGATAGAGATTTTACGTGTTATTGCATTACGCCAGTTCTGCTTTCTTATCCTGTGTATTGAATATCTAATTTGGGAACTATTGTGCATACTTCTTGGACATGTTTATCTAGTTAATACTCCATTTCCTTGTGTTACATGACAGTTACTATTTTGGGAACCAAGTACCTTTTTTTCTTCCAAGTATGGTTTCTTAACAACATTTTATAAATCTTTAATTATAAAAATTAACAATATAGTACTTTTTATATAGTCTCTAAGTATGTGATTTTTTCTTTGATAAAAGGGATTGATGTCTAAATTGTAAATTCATGGTGAAAATTACATACTTTCACCTCGTACTCCAAACCCCGTCATTATCTTTCACCTCGTCTAAATTCATGCTGAAAATTTAGGTATTTATGGCAATTGTCTTTCAACTTCACGCACTAGGGAAATATTTCGCTGGTGTTCATAAGTGCTCTTTTTTATTTATTTTTAAATGATTTAATGTGCAGGTGATGATGAAAGATCAGTTCGCAAACTATGTTGTACAGAAAGTGCTGGAGACGTGTGATGACCAGCAACTTGAATTGATTCTCAACCGAATAAAGGTTCATCTAAATGCTCTGAAGAAATATACCTATGGAAAGCACATAGTTGCCCGTGTAGAGAAACTAGTTGCTGCTGGAGGTATTCTTTCTTTTACCTCCACTCTTCTCACCTACAAAGTCATGTTTTTATTGATTTCAAGTGATATGGTAGGGAATCCCTTACAGTTTTGTGAAACAAAATTGAAATTAGCTGTATTCCAACTTTTTACCATTCCATTGCCGCACCCGTGCCGGCACGATGTGGGTGTGGGTGTGGAATTCGTCCCAGATCTGGTCAATCGATTTTGGATACTTTGACCAAAATCAGCAGAGAAATTCAGGATAAATACAATGATTTCTGAAGTCAAAACAAAGGCTAAGGTGAAACCGAAGAAAATGGAGTACCTTGTATATAAAAATTTCTATGCCACTCTTTTCCTTTTGTCTCCTTCTCAGATTCTCCTGTTAATCGATATTTTCTCCTTCTCGGAATGCCTTGTAAGTTTTTCATACAATATCTCGTAATTTAGATATATTTTATAACTCTATTTTTAGATATTTAAATTATTTTTAGTCGAATCACTATACCCGTATCCCTACCTGGATGCGTATCCCCGAATTTTAAAATTTAAATTACGAAGGATCCGACCTCTAGATCCGCACCCATATCGGACACCCGCACCCGAGTCCAAGCAACTTAGGTTAACAGTATATACGCCCTAGCTTACTAGGTATCTCTTTCTTCTCTAATTATAGTTTTGCCATGCTCTAGTCTCTGATTGAGATGCGCCCCCCACCCAGACACCTCAATTCCAGAACTTTGTAGGTGAATGCAAGACTTGTTTATGACCCTGCCAATAAATGCTATGGTTGCAAAGTGTTGCTCTTGTCCAGTGTGGAAGTGCATTTTTAACTAGGTGTTGCATTGTTTGCAGAGAGGAGGATCAGCGATCTGGCTTCGTATTCAGCTTAGATAGCATAGGAAGGAAACTGTACAGCTAATTGAGGCTAGGATGAGTGTCCTTGTCTTTGTTCTATTGTAGCTTTGGCTCTACCTGTTATCATGGAGCACGTTAAAAAATAAGAATGTTTGTAGTACATGAGTTGTACATTATTAGTTGAGGTATACCTAGAGTTGGGTTAAACGTTAGGTGAGGCTCAGATGGTAAACATACCTGATGCCACTGGCGAGAAGATAAAAGTAACTGTACAAGGGTGTATAAAAGAAACTGTAGAAGTCTATTCGTGACTATACAAACGTTGCCTTGTGCAAAGCCTGTGTTTTTTTAGGTTAGCACGAGGTTTTCCTAATGAATGGATGATTATTTTCCTTTCGAAAAACAAACGTTTACTCCTTTAATCATCAGAATTATTATTGTTCCTCCTTTCTCTGCTAAGGAATTGCATCAGAATTATTATTGTGGCTCGTTTCTCTGCTATAGAATTTCATCGGAATATGTTGCCTGTAACCATAGCACCACACGGCTGATCATCGTAGCAGGGTGAATGCAGAGTTGCTACTTGGCTTTTTGATCTCCAATTATTGTTAGTCATAAAATATTGAATTTGGAAAACCGGATTTGATAAATCTCCTGCTGTTTTTTTTTTTTTTTTTTTTTTTTTTTTTTTGCAATGTTCACATTTTCTTTTCAGGATCATCCAATGTTGCAATTGTTAAATCTAGGTCACTGCACTCCCGGAATTATTCATCTTGCATTTTTATCATCTCTCTGAGTTGTCATTGAGAAAGACAGCTTTTATAGTTTCATAGTTAGTAAGATAATCAATTAGGAACTAGAGAACGTGACTAGAGAAAACATTACGCATATTCGTGCTCCACTTGAGCATCTAGCATGAATCAATTACATTAATTGCTCTGCTTTGTATGTCAAAACTTTCTAATATTATACACGACTGAAAAAGAGATGTGGAGTGGGGCATAAGAAATGACTGATTGCAAGGTGGGTTTAACAAACATTAGCTCATCTACATGTGGTGACGAGAGAAATTCAAAAATAGCCAGATTTACCACTGGTCGTTGAAAAATAGCCAAGTTTCAAAAGTCATCGAAATTTAGCCACATAAATCTGAGCGAAAACACTGTTCAAAATCCGGAAAAATGCGCCCGCAAATTTTACGGGAGTTCCAGGATAACTATGCTGGAACTGCCGCAAATTTTACGGGAGTTCAAGCATAATTATGCTGGAACTCCCGCAAATTTTACGGGAGTTCCAGCAAGTATAATTGTCCAGTATAATATATTGGAGTTTGGAGCACTGGTGCTCCAGTCTCCCGCAAATTTTACAGGAGTTAGCAAAGTATACCGGTCCAGCATAATATGCTGGAGTTCGTACACAAATGCACCAGAACTCCCGTATATTATACTGGACCGGTCCCTGTTGCAGCAAAATAGTGGCTATTTTTCATTGACTTGATAAACGCTGGCTATTTTTCATTGACCAGTGTGAAAACTGGCTATACCATGATATTTTAACTGTGGTGACACATCGACTTAACATTATTGGGCCGACTGTCTTTCGTGATGTCACTTGATTTACTCAATATTTTCAATTGAATCATATTATCAAATTAGAAAGAGGTAAAATGGTTTAATAGTCCCAAAACTTGCACCGGATTTTAAATCGTTAGATAAACTTTCTTTTTTATTTTAATACTTCTATTTAATAACGGCAAAGTTTCATATTAAAATAACTGGGCTGCATATTTTTCAACTTTATAGTCCATATTTCAATTTACAATTGAGTAGCCCAAAAATAACATGCCCATATCCGAAAAAGGGGCGTTATTTCCGTTTTTTGGGATTCAGAAGAGGGATTTTGTATCTATCAGCGGGATTTTCTCTCATTCTTTCCATTCTTCTTCACCAAATCTACAAAAACGCGATCTTGCAGTCATTGCAACTCCAAAAACCCTAGAAATTGTTCTTCATCTCGAATTAACAGCGAATCTAACACGAAAAGTGAATTTTTTTTGCTGCAATCAACGCAATTTTCATTTTTGCTGCAATTTTGATTTCAACTTTTTGTTCGATGAAGCTTTTTCCAGTTTACGTTCTTCATAGTGGTGAATGTGAAGAAAATAAGTTTATCAATTTCGTCAACGATTGTGTAATAATCGAGTCGACATTCAGCTACAACAATTTAGTTGCAGCTATTTCGGAACAGATTAGAATCGATTGTGAGTTAAACACATTGGAGATTAACTTTCTCCCAAAGGATGGTTTGCCACCGATCCTGATTTACAACGATACATGTGTTAAGGTGTATATCGAATTAAAGAAGAAACACTTGAATTTCACTGAATACCAGTTGTATGTGACGGTGAAAGAGATTTATGATAATCGTTTGGTTGGTACAAGTTCCAGTTGTTTGGTTGCTAGAAGTTCCAATTGTATAGATGTATCCACAATTGATAGCACTGAGATTATGCCTGATATCGAATTTATTGAAAACACGAAATTTAGTGAAAACACGGGTATAATAGATGATATGTTGAACGAATTTGTTGAGGAAGATCAAGTTTACAAGGATAAAGAGACAGTTGTCAGTGTGATGAAGAACTTGGCTGTACGCGAGAGGTTCCAATTCAAGGTGAAGAGATCAAGCGCAACAAGGTATGGCAATAGTTGTATATTCTGTTATATATATGTATAAATAAGTATAAAGTAGTATATATTTGTATATAGGTATTAAAATTAGTATATATCTAGTTATGTTTTTGTATACAAGTGTATTTAGAAGTTGAATGATCTTTAATCCTAGGTATCACCTTATGTGTGTGAATGACAATTGTGCTTGGAGTTTCAAATCTTCTGCCGTTTACAAGGCAAACATATTCAAGGTGAGAAGTTACAATAATAATCACACATGCGGCTATGGTGAAAGATACTTAACACAACGTCAAGCTATTTCGGGTGTAATTGCTAGTATAGTCAAGGACAAGTATGTTAATCCAAAAAAAGTTTACACCGCAAATGATATAATAGAGGACATACAAAAGCAACAAGGGATTGAAGTGAGCTACATGAAAGCATGGAGAGCTAAAGAGATAGCAATGGCAATGATAAGAGGGAATCCGAGCGATTCATATAAGGAGTTGCCAAGGTATTTGTATATGTTGGAGCATACAAATCCAGGAACGGTTATAAAGTTGCACAAATCAGAAGATGGATGCTTTCTTTATGCATATATTTCGCTATATGCATCTATCAAGGGTTGGGAGCATTGCAGACCGATAATGGTTGTTGATGGAAGTTTCCTTAAAGCAGCATATAAGGGTACCATATTGACTGCTTGCACACAAGAGGGAGCTGGTGAGTTGACTGCATCTACCTTGTTTCTGCAGTTTGTATAATGTTGTAGTTTCATGCATAAAAGTGTATAGGATTTCACAGCTGCTGTTTTTATAAAATTTGCAGTTTGTATAATCGTGTATAACTGTGTATAAGATCTGTATAATTGTCTGAATCCTTATATCTATTTTGTATAAACAGGAAAAATCCTTCCACTTGCATATGCAATTGTAGATTCAGAGAATAACAAATCTTGGGAGTGGTTCTTCGTCCAGATAAAGGGTACTTTTGGTGTTAGGGAAGGGATGTGTATACTGTATAGTTTCAGATAGAAACGAAAGCATCTTCAATGCCACAAAAGCTGTGTACCCAGAAGTACCGCATTGTATTTGCATGTTTCACTTGTGGCAGAATGTCAAGCGCACATTCAAGAAACATCACAAACAATTGAAGGATATCTTCTTTTCTTTGGCTAGAGCTTACACGATAGAGAAGTTTGACTACCATATGACAGAGATGTGCAAAATTGATCCGAGGGTGCAACCTTACTTGTTCGAAATTGGCTACGAAAGGTGGTCTAGGGCATACTCCAAAGTGAAAAGGTTCGAAATTGGCTACGAAAGGTGGTCTAGGGCATACTCCAAAGTGAAAAGGTCGATGGTATTGACTTCCAATATTGCAGAGTCAATGAATGCAGCAAACAAGGATGCTAGAGAGTTACCAGTAATGCGATTGCTGGAGTACATGACAAATTTGCTACAACAGTGGAACAACAAAAACATAAAAAGTGCAATGGAGACATCTACAGAGCTTGGCGAAAAGTACGACAAAATACTTCGGGAAAATCTGATTGCATCGGAGCAAATGAAGGTAAAACGAATCAAATATAATGATGCTTGGCACTGCTGACTTGCATTTTACTGCTTGTATAAGGATGTATAAATCTGTATAATAATGTATAATGTGCTTTAACTTTTTTTTTTTAAAAAGAACTTTTGCAGGTGAGGCCTGCTACGGAGCAGTTATATACTATGCTTGAAGGGGTAAGGGGAAACATAGTGTGCCTTGAAGAGGGAACATGCAGTTGCGACAAATTTCAAATGAATGAACTTCCATGTCCGCATGCTTGGGCGGTTTTAAAGAACCAGCAGTTGAAACCTGGCCAGTATTGCTCTTTTTACTACAAGAAGGATAACCTCCTTAAAACTTATGAAATTCCAGTGAATCCGATGCCAGATGAGAGTTTATGGGTAATCCCAATAGATGTGCTGGAAGATGTGGTCCTACCACCTAAAGGGAGAAGGAATGCAAGAAGGCCAAGAAAGGAAAGACTCAAACCTGCTTCAGAGAAAGAGTCTAAGAGGGCGTTTTCATGTTCTGTGTGTGGACAAAGTGGTCACAATAGAAAAACATGTAGGAATCGACCAAAATAAATAGTTGGAAACATAACACTTCCTATTACATATGTTGTCATGTTGAGTAGTTAAGTTTCACAAACAATAGAGTTACAAATGTTGAGTAGTTAAGTTTCAAAAGCAATTGAGTTACAAATGTCAATAAAGAATTACAATTTACACTATATATTGAAATTATGTTAAATATGTTTCATTATACATGTTTTGATTATCCAATAATAATGTGTTGCTGTTTTTAATGGTGCTAAATATATTGATAGATTGTACAAATGCAAAACAGAACTGCAAACAATCAATGGTATTATATGTATACAGATGTATAAATGAGAGTATACGTTTGTATAAAATTGTATAACTATGTATATTATTATATACATATGTATAAGCCCTGCAACATTAACAAAACTGCAACCATAATGAAAATACATACTTTGTTAAAGGACAAAAGCAACTGAAATACTCATTAAAATGTAATTCATTCACAGCCACAATGTGTAATGACTACCCCAAATTACACAAAAATAAAAATATCTATAATATCCTTTAAGGTTATCTCACAAGTAGCAGAATAGTACTTAGACAAAACTAGGCAACAACTCCTGATACATAGCAAAACTACATTAAAATGGAAAAAACAGAACTACTTTCTCGGTCGTCCCCTCTTCCTCTTCCTGAAAAGTCTCCCTGTGATTTCATCACCACTAATTGCACCGGACTGTTGTTTTTTCCTTCCATAATCCCACAACAGAGATCCCCACCTGGTGCGAAGTGTCTCAATGTCAAAATTATCTTTTCGAATTTCTTTACCAAGGATGAAATACTCAGCAAAGCTAGCAACAAAAGCACCACAATCACTATAATTAAAAAAAATCAGATCCTCTGTACGTTACTGTAAATAGGTACACTAATAGTAAAATAGTAAAACAATTGAGATTAACCTACCATTTGATCTGTTGTGGCACATTATTAACCAGATTAATCTGCAAAGCATCAGAATGAGATTTATCGGTATATGCACCATTGTTCCAATCAATGCCCTTCTTCTCGACATAAAAATCAGAACTCTTCAAGAAGTAAGGTATCAAAATTGCATAAGGTAATGCAGCATCCAAAGCAAGTCTATCATTAATAGCTCCACGGTTAGAGTCATAGATGTGGATGCACCTATCTATGAATGTAAACAACCCCAAAATCCAATGGCCCAATTTTGCTCTTCCGCGCTTCACATATATATGGAATAAGACGTGGTCAACAGTGTGCCACGGTACATTTGCATCACAATAATATCCTCTAATGTACTCTTCTATCTCATGCCCTTCAGGAATCACTGAAGGATCTTGATTCACTTTAAAATCTTTATATAGGGAGTTGATTTTGTTACCAAAGGCAAAGTTGGTTGTAGTAAACCGCATGGTAACATTCGGCCCATATTTTCCCTCTTCCTGAAATAATAAAAGAGGACATCCAAGTGCTGAGACAAGAAATAAAACAAAACAACCATCACTACTAGATTTTTTAAATATACAAATTTATGCACTATTATACAGAGTTCTACATATTTATACAAGGTTATACAATCTTATACAATCTTATACTGTGATTATACAAAGTTATGTATACACTATGGGGGTCTCAAACAATAAAGATAAGCAACAAATAAAAAAAGGCATTAGAACAAAAAGTTGTTAAATACCGTGTCAATCAAAGGTCGACCACAATACGCAAGTGAGTGGAACCAATCCTTCGTGGTCACATGACACGAGCCAAAAGTAAAAGCTTCCGCAAGCTTATTTACTTCATCGGTATAAATATTTTTGGCACTTCAAATCACAAAAAATAAAAAGTAATCAGAACTACCTTCATTGACAAGTATAAAATCAGAACATGAAAGCTTAAAGAAAGTTAAGATACCTTCGCCTCGTATCCATCCCATTATCAACAAACGCACAAAACTCTTTGGCCAATGGCGACAAGGGATCAAAATTATCAATTTCGATCGTGAAAGGATACTTGATATAAAAAATGAGCTTGTGCGCCGATCCTGATGCCCCCGAATCAAAAACAGGCAAATATGGAGATTTGGCATATTTTCCTGGCATTTTCTGTCGAACCGACTGTTCAGGAGAAATGTAATCCTCTTCTACGTCTATGATGGATGGTCTATGAAGCACAATTTGGGACATCTGTAGCGCACCTAAATCTTCATCGCCAATATCATCCCAAAATGTATCACCCTTGACATCACCTGCTGCCCCTTAGACAGAGAAAACCAATAATAAAAAACTTTCAAAATGAAGAAAAGAAAAATCATACAAAAAAGATAAAATGCAGAACGAATACCACAATCAACACCATCAGTAACTCCCTCGTTTGCTTTGACACCTAAATCTGTTTTGGTCAGCTAGCGTGTTATCTTGATTCACTTGATCGACAAAGTCAGGAACAACATCATATTGATAGCCATCAAATTCGCCGAGACCAGATGTATTGTCATCATACACGCACTGATGTATCTAATAAAAAATAATAGAAAGAGAAGGCATAACTGTTGAGTGATGATTCAGAGAAGGCATAACTATTGAGTGATTTGGTTTTATCCAGATGTGTTTCTAGTAGTCCTACTAGGCATGCCGCTTGATAGGGATATTGATTCAGGCATTGATTTGGCACCAGACATGCTAACTATCTTTATTCCTGCATATCATATTCTCTAGCAGTAAGGGTTCACGGCAAGGATGTTAATTAATAAATAAGTGTGAATGGACACGTGATACATAAAGAGCCAATGCGAGAGGTAAGTTAAGACATAAGATATAACCCAAGAGAGGTTGAGAAGAATATTTATATGAGAATGGACCGACGAGTAGTTAGTAGTTTATTCAGGAAGAGCGTAGTTATGTCTAGACAAGAGGTAACAAATGAATCAGCAGATCATGCAAGATAAACATAGTAAGCCCAAACATAGGAATTTCAGACTTGCAGATATGAGATCCTAATCCATGAGAAATATTCAAGACAAGAAGGGAATTATTTGATCTATGACCCAGAGTTAGTTATGTATGAAGGCACATAAGATTTTACAGTATTATCCATGCAACATATATGTCGACATTCTTACAGTTATAGGAGGCTCCCGTATATCGTTAAAAGAAAGTACTGAGTCCATATCACATACAAAGGCTTAAATTGTTATAATAATATAACATGGATGTTCCATAGTGTCAGCCCCCGACCTTAGGGAGCGCAACCGACGCTCAACCGGGGTATCCCAGTCAAGCAAGCCTATTTGATGCCTTTGACCCAACCTTACCTATGAATAGTGTGTAGATGAATATCAAGGGTTAGTCACATGAGAGAATAACATGTACAACACCAATTTCATTACTTTTAGAAACTTCATTGACGATTCGAAAATATTACATGTTCATCGTTCAAGACGGGAAACATGTTTAACAGCTACAACATTTCTAGTTTGTTTTTCACAAACCAAGATACAACCCACATCATGTCTATGGATCCTCTAAATGAAATAGAAGAATAGTATGATAATGTCGGTGACAAGGCCCTGACTATACCTCAAAATACAATGTACAAGGATCAAAGTACACAGGGTCCCGAAAGGAAGTGGGGCTCACCAAGTCAGCTGAGAAGAGGGTGCACTGCTATCAATGATTGATGCCGCCTGCTGTGGAACCACCTATATTTGTTAAAGATGCAACATCTGCGGCAAAAGGGACATTAGTACATATGGAATAGTACTAGTATGTAAAGCTAAACACCCTCTCATGGAATAGAGTAACAACATAAAAGGGGAGGAGCATGGAACCAATAAGAAACTTAAATAATATCAAAATGCCAAGGTACGAGCAAGTTAAATCTTGCAGTAAATGTTAATGTTTTAAGTTGGGAGATCTCTGATACCAACACACCACCATACTTATGGCATGGGGACCGATCTCCCCCCGACTGACTAAGCCGTCTCACCCCAATGTTTGTGGGTGGAAATAGAATCACAACACCACCACCATGTACGCGACATGGTGTCCGATCACCGCTCGATCGGCTAAGCAGTCTCACCACAATGCCGTGTGGGTCGACATAGTCCTTTGCTAGCTGTCATTTCATCCCAATTAAGGGGAATACTCTCAAAATTTCACCACAGGAATTTATCCCTCTATCACTCCTACACCGGTACGTGTACTTTAGGGTTTAGGTCATTTCAACCCACCCTTCCTCAGTGACCCAACCATACTCCCAAAATCATTTATTATATAAAAGAGTCACGATTCATTTCATAGCCTTTTTCAATCTCTTTCACTTCGTTGGCACTCTTGGCCATACACAGAAATCAATGTTCTTGGGACATGGCCGCATTTCAATTATTTCATCGCATTCTTTTACCTTCAAGGATCATCATAGGTCATCAACATAAAGAACATTTGGAAATAAAGACCTTAAATACATGAGTAATAAGAGTCTTAAATATATTGAATTTTCTTCCCAAGAGAGAGCATAATGTTTTGCATTTGAAACTTAAATTTAAGTCACAATCATTAAATACATTAACCTTATTTCAAATATTTTCCTGAAAGAGAGTAACATGATAGGACAATTGGAACATGAATCAAATCATAAGCCCTTGGGCAAGCTAAACATAGAAGCAAACTATAATGATGAGAATGGGAACTTGATCAAACCATAATCAAAGTTTATAAGAAATTCATGGAATCCGATTCTATGAAAAGAGTTTAGCCAACACACATTGTTTGAGCTTTTACTTAGAATAACTACAATTTTTCAAGACTCCTAGCGATTTCAATCTATAGAGACATCATAAAATTTAGCCATAGTTAGGGAGGGGCTCATAGGTTCAACTCATTTAAGAATTTCATCGAACACTTGGTGTGCAATTGCTAGTACAAGGTCTTTTGGTGGCAATCCTTCATCCCAAAACCAATCACCACATCAATAGCTCATCAATATTAGTTCAACAACCTCGCCACCACCTTCCTTGGCAC